TCATATGCTTGCTTCACAGATCTGAAAGCTTGTTGTTTTGACCTTATTAGGTAGTATGAGTTTATCTATCTTAGATAGTAGATATGATTTGATTAGATCCTAGTACCTTTCCCTAGTACTTCTCTCTAAAAAAGGTGTTTAATACAAAATATGAAATGCATGATTCCCAACTTAACTACACAATGGCCTTTAACTGTACCACTAGCAGTCAGTGGATGATTGTTTAAAAGAAAAAACTGACAGCTTCAGTTTATGGATAAACCTCAGTTCTAGTTGTGGAAAGGGGAATTGACATGAATGAATTGGCACTACTAATAAACCTCACTGGATTTTGTTTTATCTGTGGGAGAAGGAAGATTCCATCTCTCTCTGAAGCGTCATTATTGTGTGGAAATCCACTTTTGTGGAAGATGAAATCTAGTTTTCCTAATTGATTACATTAATCGAAACACATGAGTTTTAAACTACTCAAATTACAAAATTCAATCAACTTTCATTTCATTAAACTAGTACAAAAATTAATTTAGGCACATTAGGAGACAAGTGTTAGTGCAGATTTCTGTCTTTAAAAAGCAAGCTGATACTTCTGCTCTCAAGTGTTGGCAATAGGTGACTGTCTTCAAAGGGCTGTAGCTCGATGTGGACACAAACACTTGGATTTTCACATAAACTAGTTTGTCACTGAAAACTAGCTTAATTCCCCCAATGGTTGTGGGCCCGGGTAGCCTTGCATCTGATAAGTGTTAACCTCCTGTTGATTGAGCACTATCAAGTAGTACAGGAACAAGACTTGACTCACCCAATGCCTTATCAGGCAGTTCTTCAAAGTTAAAAATAAGTGGGAAAAAATCCATCATTGCAGAGAAATTACTAGAGATGGGAGAGCTTGTTCTTCCTTATTTCTGGTCCACTCAAGTACTATGATTTAAACTGGTTCCAGGTGTTGGGTTCAAATATTACTGAGACTGAAGGTGTGGGGGATTGGGGGGGGGGGTTTTGAGCAAATTGGGTGGAGAATGGAGCAGAGGGTGAGTGGTCTTAAGAGAATGCTCTGGAGAATGACAAGCAATTCTTAAACTGTCTACTCATGTTAATTGTGTGTGTAAAAGTGCTAAGCGCCCAGAATTCCAAGTAAACTGGATAGGAGCTGTGACTGTGTGCAGTGCATCTGAACGTAGACTCAGTAACCAAAAGATGGAACGTAGATTGTGGTCATTAGTCCTGCTACTGGAACGCAAGTTAAACCAACCACCTTGGCTTGCGCTCACTAAGAAACACAAGAAATAAGTGTTTGCCAAATGAAAGAAAATTATTGTGGTGATGGAGACACAAACAATTGAGAATGGAAAACAATTTTAAAAAGTCACTTGGAATTGCTCCTTCTAATGAGTTCTTGCATAGGACACTGGCATAGCTCGCTTCTTCCTGCTTACTATTAGAGAAACCTGGTTAAATTTTCATTGCCAGCATTTGACATCATCTAGATTATATGATGCATGCTACATTGGATGTACACCTCTACCCTGATATAACGCGACCCAATATAACACGAATTTGGATTTAACGCGGTAAAGCAGTGCTCGGGGGGGGGCGCTGCGCACTCCGGCAGATCAAAGCAAGTTTGATATAACGCGGTTTCACCTATAACACAGTAAGATTTTTTTGGCTCCCGAGGACAGCGTTCTATTGGGGTAGAGGTGTAATATTCACTGCTTGGGTCTAATGTGTGAACGTCCAATAGTCGTTCACTGAATATTGGATGTTGACTTCTCAAGTTAAAGGCTAAATGCTGCTAGGGAGTGGCAATTATGTTCTGAGGCAGTTGGGAGATCAACTTTGTTTAAGATGGGTCATGCAGAGGCTGTTAAATCTTATCTTGCCTCCACAGCTTACATGGCATTAGATTGTGTGTGTGCCTTACTGCTTTACCATCTGTAGCCAAGGCTGAGCCTAGAGTACTGGTTCAAAAGGAGGGTGGGTGCATTGGCTGAAAACTGATTCCTGGAGGTCTGAGGGAGGGGAGAGTGCTGAAATTCTAGAGAGGATAATGGTTACTAATGGTTGGGGGCAGTGTTCTGTTGGTTTTTGGAGCATGGCAAACAAGGGGAATGGGTTTAGACATAGCCCTGTTGACAAGGTAGGCTGGAAGCCTGGTAGCCTTCCTTAATCATGACTGTAAACTATGCTAAAAATGACTGCTAATAATGGCTCTTGTGTAGGATTGCAAATGCAACACAGCCACATACTCCTAGGGGTAGCATGACAGCCATAGCCCCACCCACTACTTCCCTCGCCACACTGGAGTGAAGTATTTCAAGTTACTTTTGGACCATGCTACAACAGTAGGATCTTATTGGATAAGGAGAGGACATACGCTTGTGTTAGGGGCTGGGTGCAGCAGAAATTAGCCCTGCCTTCCTGCGTGGGGATACCATAGCAAAAGCATTTGACTACCCACCATTTCTGGAATGATTCTAATTCCTGAGCACATCTGTTTGCACCTAAGGGTGCACTTGCAAAGACTTTTCTGAAAGCTAGCGCTTCAAGGGCTTGATCCTGCCCGCTAATACCCAATAATTTACACCAGTATAGCTAGTAAAGCTATTGTGCTTTCACAGACATGCACAGATTTTTAACAAGATATGAAATGATGCCCGCTCACATATCGGAGGGAAAGACTGAAGCTTTGATGTAAACGAAGGGCCATGAACACTTAATATTTTAATAAGATAAAAGATTTATTTAATCACAAGTAGTTCAATATACTTGGTGCCAGTAAATCTACTTTTTCAACTTTGATCTGGCCTCTCACTGCATGTGGGATTTAATGATGTGAACATCCCCCTTCTCTTCCTCCTCCTACCACTTCCTCTGTCTGCATAGAAGGTACTCTATATGGCTGAAAGTAGTTGGGATAGTTGTAATGCAAGATAATCAGTCTATATTTGGATTCTAACAGCAAATGGGTTCATTAAAAAAATTATAGGAAACTAGTCTTTACTGAATGCACTTGCCTTAATAGAATACAAAATCATGGAGAATAAGAAAATGTATATATTTTTTTTCTTGCTAATTTGTGACACTGCAGTTTCATGTAACATAAAGGGGATAGGAAGCATGTGGATAGCATAAGAGTAATTCAAAAATATTTATGAAAAATATTATCTGAAGCCCCATGTATTTATCTGAGACCTATTCCTTTCACAATAAAACATCACAATGTTGTATAATTGTACCCTAAATGCATACACGTGTGTGTGTGTGTGTGTGTGTGTGTGTGTGTGTGTGTAAACATAATGCTGAGTGATAAGCAAGCAGACTTGTGCAGTGACTATCTGTTGTAAAAGTTTTTAGAAGTTTGGTACAACACATAATTAACATACTGCAATTACTGATTTATTCAAGGTATGTCAACACTGAGGAATTGTTTTCTCCGGTTGTGTGCTGCTGCCAATTGTCGAACGCTGCAGCATTTGACACAGAACACATTTTAAATATATATACATATTTATATATATAAATCCCCTCCCTCCTCTTCTCTTTCCCCCCCCCCCCCCCCGGTCTAGTAACTTTGGTTAAAGTTTACAATATTTGAGCAATTTTCTTAAAAATATTGTAATTTTATATTTATTTGTGGTGTCTGATACCACTGTGGCTGCATAGATCTCCAAATATTTACATGTAATTTCATAATAGTGTTTATAGCACATGCTACTTCTGGATAAAAGAAAATGAGTTTCCAAGGTGAGTAATTTTATTTAAAAAAAAATGCAAATAGCATACGACCTTAAATTCAATCTCATATCACTGAAGTATAAAATGAAACATTTTTCAATTAAATACTTTCTAAGCTAATTATAATTTATCAACTGAACAATTAAATAAAAAAGTTTAACTACTTTGACTTTGGGAAGATTGGGGGTTTCACAAGAATAGGATAAATGAAAGCTTATATTGCAGGGGCTAATTCTGTCTCCAGAGAAACCAGTCGCGTTAGTGCATGAAAATAGCTTCTAGGCAAGATGAAGAAACTGCTGTGGGGAGGAGAGGAGAGGCTTCTTCCCTCCCTAGTCCCTTTTTACCCCAAAATTGATATTTACTTTTAATTAAAATTTGCATTCAGGGTATTTACACATGAGAAGCTGTTGAAATACCCTTCATTCATAGTCCCAAATAATTTGCCTAAATTATTTGAAAAGCTATGCCAATTATCAAGTCAAACCAGAGGTCTAATAAGAGTTAAACACATTTAATACTTAGAATTGATTGCATTGTATCGAGCCGCACTTGAGTACTTTGTAAGCATTTGGAGAGTCAGTTTGTAACTGTATAAAACTGCTGTGTTGCAAATTTGCTGTGAGCTTTAGCAAAGTTACATTTAGGCAAGGCTGACTATCGATATGGAGGTAGGAAAACAGTATTTAAAATCACCAGTCTCCAATACACTTGAAAAATCCCTTTCCCATTCTTCTCTGATTGTAGATTTTAGAGTCAGATTATCACAGAAGGAAAATCTTCCTGTAAGTCTACCTTGAAAAGTGAACCGAGCCAACTGGAATGTTTGTGATCACATAGCTACAATGGAACAAATGTAATGCATGTTCCCTCACAGATCTCTGTACATCTATCTAGATTCCTTTCATCCAGACTATTTTCATTAGAAAAAGTAGACTATGGAGACTTAAGTATAAATGTTTACACATAGTCATATAATTACATAACGTGAAACATTTTACATGTTTTGAGGTGAGCATCTTTTTGACTTTCAAACATTGAGTGCAAATTTAATGTAATCATTGCTTTAACACTGAAAATATGGTTTTATTTAAAAAAAAAAAAACCTCTAAAATACTGCACCACTTCAAAAACAATGCTTCCATTAAATAGTTTGGAAAATTAGGGTTTATGTCAACATTTGTAAAAATTAGAATCATATGTAGGTCCCCATCAATTTTAAAATAGGTTACTTATCTGGTTTAATTTTTGATGACTTGTAGATATTATACTTCACATTCTTTATATGGCAGCTGCTGACACTTGCACTGTCCATAGCCATTAATGATGATGAAAGGTCCTTCATGGGTGGGTTCATATTCGTTATATGGTCCTTGGTCTGACATGTTTGACATATGTAGCCGTGTTTGGGATCGGAGTTGTCTATGGTTTTGAATCATTGAACACTGCCTAATTCTTCTTAATGTGGGAGGGCAGCATTTTCTGGAGATGAACACTATAAAAATGATAAAAAAGAAAGAAAATAATAAAGCCATTGTTCCTGTAATTACCCGTTGAGTGAAGATGGCATTGTTTGGTTCAGTGAAATGTTCTTCAGTAGTAACGACTATGCCTGCAGTAGTTGGAATTTCTTTGTCTCCCATATGGAAATTTGATGAGCTTATTCTTTTTGTATACTCAGTAGTTGGAGAGCTGTAACTTGTAACCATGGATGTAACAATAGTTGATAAATTCCAGCAAAGCTGAAAACCGTAAACTGCATCTAGAATATCCTCTCCTTGGGTGTGGTCTGGGCTGTGGCACAGTATGGAGTGCTCCCACCGACCTTGAAAACCACTCAGCCATGTGGCTAATTCACATATCTTTGGACTGCATTCCCACAGATTGCTGGAGAGGCCCACTGTAGTTATGGATGTAAGTGAATTTAAGATCTTGGAATCCAGAGTGGTTAGCTTGTTGTTATCCATTAGGAGTATTTTAAGATTAGGCATAGTTTCAAAAACTGTCAAATCAATGGCTTTGATTTCATTTCCAGTCAAATCTAGCTTTTCTAAGGTGCCCCAGGTCCACTCCATCCCACATGTCAAGTTGCTAATTTTGTTCCACTGCAAGAAGAGCGTGTGCAGACTGCTTAGCCGTAGGAAATGAGCAAAATTAATCTTTGTCAGCTGGTTGTGCTCTAGGTGAAGCTCCCTCAGTTTGATTAATCCTGCAAATCCATTGCGAGCCAAACTTCGCAAGCGATTTGTGCTCAAATCCAGAAACTCCAGACTACGACAGTCCCAGAAAAGGCGGACTGGGATAGTCCGCAGGGAGTTGGAACGTAAATGCAAGGTTTGCAGTTTGCGAAGTCCATAAAACAACTCAGGATGCAGAGAGGATAACTGATTAAAAGAGAGGTCCAAATTTTGCAGGTTCAGCAGTTGGCTAAAAGTTGTGTTTGGCAAATAAAAGATTTTGTTTGAATTTAGGATTAATTCCTTAAGTTTATATAGTCCTTGAAAAGAATCTTCTCTTACTGTTGCAATTTGATTATGATCTAAGTGAAGCCAAGTAAGTTGACTGAAGCTTGCAAATTGATCCCTTTCAAGTTCAGAAATATAATTGTGCCTCAGTGACAAACCTAGAGAGCCCTTGTCAGTGGTGTTTGGCACTGAGTGAAACCCCTGAGAGTCACAGTAAAAGAGCAGCTTCTCACAGCGACATTTTGGTGGACAAGCCATGCCCAAGGCAGGCAGCAATTTTAAAACCATACTCATTGCATATAGTGCTGCCAGCATAGGAGCCCCTAATGGCCACTTGAAATGTAAGCCTGCAGAATATAATTTAGGGAAACAACAAGATAGGATATTCTTATCAGATCATGTACACTTAGAACATTATGGTGAAAGATTTCACTGCAGATTACTTTCATGCATCTCTAAAAAGCTACTTTCGAATGTAAGAACTAACTTACTAAATACAGAGTACTTAGATATTGTCCTTGATACAAATCTTTATCTACATTATTGAAGATTACAAGTGACAATGTGAACAAGCCTTTAAAAGGCTTCAGTTCAGAAAATCTGTTTTTAGTATCTGTTTTTCTGAAGCATAACTGTTTTTCATCATAAAAGGTATATATAAATGTGTAAACTTACCCATTCTTTTGCGTACATTGGAGGTTGCATTCAGTCGTAGTTTTAGACTCAACGCGGTGAGTCTGTAAAAGGCTCTAATGTAAGACAGCCTTTGAATAATTTACTGTTTTCTAGTGTCCTTCGATATTAGTGTAAGACTGAATCCACCATGCTCTCTCAAAATACTCCTTTTAAATTCGTTGGCTTGATTTCATGTGACAGGTCTGTAATTGTGTAATCAATGCTGAATATAAGTTGTTGTTGTTTTTCTTCCTCCTGTGACTGCTCAGTGGTTTAATTGAAGCTCACGTTCTTTTTCCGCGGCTGTGGGTTCTTTTAGTCTTAACTTGTTGATGGCAGATGGGTGGCTTATTGCTGAGAGAAGCTCCTGTAGTAGCATGAGTGCATTTTCTGAAAAGCTTTTCAGGGAAACGGTACAAGAATGGATTTGCTTATGCGCTGCGACCACACAGAACTGTATATAGGCTGACGTCACCTGGTGACGTTCCTTTTGTTTGGGTTTTCCAGAAGCTTTTCTGTTTTAAAGCATTATGGTGCATACTGTGATCCTGTTAAACTACTGATAGAGGGGAAAAATCAACTGTAAGGAACACTTCATCCATACAATTCAAGGAGTAAGAATGATTTGTAATGTTTTTTCTATAGTACATTTTGCTTGCTATCTTCAGACAGCCTCAAGCAGTGTACAGCTAGAATTGTGAAGGGTCTTTTAATGCTGGCTCTTGCTCATTTTGTATTGTATTTTCCTGCACATAAAGAACTTTAATAGGGAATGCGCACATACTGTTTGAGTAGTAATAGGAGAATGCTGATTAGCACCAACTGGTACAGTAAAGTGAATTATCTGGCATTTTAGAGCTGTATACCACTACATTCCTTCTTTGTCTTTAGAATGAACAAGGAGGAAAACATTTTTGCTTAGATATTGTTAGCTTCACTTCCCCATATTCACATCTCCAAAGTAACAAAGAAAATAATAAACTTATGATTAAGAATGACAAATCTCTGAAAAAATAAAACTTTATCTTCAAGTGTGTGAAATTTGTTTTCCTTAAAATCAAATTAGATTTTCCCCACTTTCAAAATCATATTTTTCTCAATTTTAACAAAACTGCAGATTGTTGTTTCTGGGGATTGGGTGGAGGTAATGTGTGCTCTGCATTCAGGCTGGAGCTCAAATCACGTTTGAGGTGGTGAGGAGTTTGATGGTTCACTTCAGTCACTAGTAAGCTTTTTTTTCTTCTTCTTCTGTGAATAGAAGTTCACATTAGTTTTGCTGGGAATCTGTGCAACAGAACGTCCAGGCCTGAACAACAGTGATGTTGCATGTTTAGAATTAAGATGCACTGGTAGAACTGTGTTCTTGGGAAGCTTGTAAAGCTGTCTGCCTGCACTGTTGCTGACCAGTCAGTGTCTCTCATCAAGAGCTCACACATTCAACCAGATTTAGAGAAACTATACTCTTGACTACCTGTACGCACCTAGGGCACACAAAATTACCACTTATTTTCCATGATAACTGATAATACAGGGTAAATGAGCTGCTGAATTTTCATGGCTATTTTTTGGTAAGGCTGCTTTAACCCGGATAATTTTGTTTTTAACTTTCCTCTTCTGTTTCCTTGAGTATGCTATCTCTTTTTTTAAATTCCTTTACCCTGTGACTTGGAGCTATAATGCAGTGAGGTGCATTTTAAACTGTTACAACAGCCTATTCATTTTGAGCCCCACACAGTGACATGGAAATGTCTTCAATGCATGGACTGCAGAGAAGGAAAACCTTTCATGTTAATGTAAGATGGCCTTAAAGGACTTTCATAATGATAGGGAAGGTGCAAAACTCAAATGCAGGACTTAAAAACAAAAAATTTCTTTCCACACTTCAGAAAGCAGTAACCCTGATTATAAAGTGTTTTGTGTTTAAACAAAGCTGTGTGCCTTCTTTCCCTAACTCTTCATTCTCTTTGATCCTGTAGTGAAGTTGTCATTTTGTGGCGAACTGTTCTGCTCTAAACAGAGCTATGACTTCATTGAGGCATCAAGTAGAAGTTTGGGTGTGAGAGAGACATATGAACACTAATTGACCATAATAAAGAAAATTAAAGCGTGCTGGTTGTGTATTAAATTATACTGGAAGTATTTCCAAGTTTGCTCTAGTCCAGTGTTTCTCAAATGCGGCCACTAGAGCCTTTCCTTGCGGCCACAGCCTCTGGGGTGGGGGGGGGGGGGGGGGGAGAAAGCAGTGGCCCCTCTCCCAGGGCCGCCAGCAGAGGTTGTGCCACCCTCCGGAGATACAGACTCTGGAGGTGCAGGCAGCTGGTGAATTCCCCACTTTCCCAGGGATAGGGGAGGCAGGCTTTGGCCACAGGGCATCAGGCTCTGTCTACATGGTGGCAGGCTGTGATTCCAGGCTCACTACCCCTGCCATGGTCCCTGGGTCCTGCTGCCTCGTTGCCCACGTCCCCATTCAGGACTTAATTTGTCCCAGGGCTTCCTGGGGCTGAGTAACTCTGCTCTGAAAAGTGGTATTAACAAACATACCCATATCACTTTTCACAACAGAAGACTTACCAGGTAGCAAGTATTAGAAGAAGAAAAAGCACAACCAAAAAAAGCAAAACAACAACAACAACAACAACAACAAAGACAAGAACATGTAAAGTGCCTGATTTGTGTTTCTGTTTTGTTTAGGTCCAGTAAAGAATAGACACAACTGTAAAATATTTTTATTACTGAGTCTGAAAAAACCCTACATAAATAAATTACACAAATTTGGACATGTGTATATGCATATTTATTTGTTTTTCCTACAGTTAGTTATTTTAGGAAAAATGGTCAGCGCAGCCACCAGCAAGAGTTGGTGGCCACACTGAGTCCACCAAAATTTTTGTTGAGAACCCCTGCAGAAGGCATTACTTGCAAACAAATCATACAAGCTAATTAAAAATGGAATTAACTATTTTAAATATTTTGATTAACAAAAATATACCCAGCATAAGCACTGAATTGCCTTTTTCCTTAAGGAGCCACTATGAAAGTATACCTGAAGTGACGTATGACATAGCAACTAGCTAGATAAAAAAAATTCTGTTTTTGAAGGATTTTTGCCTGTCATCTTTGTAAAATTCATACTGCCATTGCAAGAATATGGCATTCTATATTCAGAAGTTGAGTTATGGCAAAGAATTGATATCCTGTGTAACTCTTATGAATGTTACCAGTTATTCTTTCAGATTTCTTTCAGATCAGTTGTGTTGCTTCTCTACCAGTATCACGTTGGTGGTGATACCGGTTAACACAGATGAGAATTACGCAAACCTAGTGTGGTATTAAACTAATGCTTAGGAGGGTTACTGTACAAATGCAATAAAGCAGTTTTCTTTTTCTTCGTGAAGCATGTTGCCCTTCTGCCATGTAGTGGTTGATGTTTGGCACATTGCAGGTTGGCTTTCTGTTTCAGAAATCAGTGACATGTAGTCTCTAGGTACGCAGGTAGTCCCTTCTTTCAGGAATCTCCGCCCACATCCCAGGGGTCCACTGTGCTTCCAGAATTGATTCTAGTTAAAAGCAGAGAATAAGCTCCTGCTGCTTGCAAAACTAACAATACAGTACTACCTGTAAGCGTGAAAACTTGCTTGCATGCTCAGAAAAAATATTAAGACTATGAGTAGCAGTGTCATCTACTGGTTTCTCCCATAACAAGTATTTTGCAGCAAAGTTGAAAGGGTGTATATTTGGGAAGGGGAAAACAGCATTTCTCTCCCAGTAACACTAGTGGTACCAAAAAGTCCTCACAAGAATTCTGTTTCACCCTACACCTTGATTTTTTTTCAGAAGAATTGGATGCTATGGTAAAGGAATCCACCAGAAAAGTACATAGACTGAGACTTTTAGGTCAGCAGGGACCATCATGATCATCTAGTCCAGGGGATTCTCACAACAAATTTTTGGTGGCCTCATAGTGCGGCCACCAACTCTTGCTGGTGGCCGCGCTGACCATTTTCCCTAAAAGAATTAACTTTAGGAAAAACAAATCAATATAAAAATATAAAATATAATATAAAAATAAATATAAATATGTCCAAATCATTGTAATTTATTTATGTAGGGTTTTTCAGACTCAGTAATAAATAATTTACAGTTCTCTCTATTCTTTACTGGACCTAAACAGAATAGAAACACAAATAAGGTGCTTTGCTTCTTGTTGTTCGTTTGGTTGTTGGTTGTGGTTGGTTGGTTTGTTGTTGGTTGGTTGATGGTGGGTGGTTGGTTGTTTCTTCTTCTTTTGCTTTTTTGGTTGCGCTTGCTACCTGGTAAGGCTTCTGCTGTGAAAAGTGATATTTGTATGTTTGTTAATACCACTTTTCACAGCAGACTTACTCAGCTCCGGGAAGCCCTGGGACAAATTAAGCCCTGAATGGGGAGGTGGGCAGGGAGGCAGCAGGACCCAGGGACCATGGCAGCGGTGGTGAGCCTGGGGACGGAGCCCCATGGCCAAAGCCTGCCACCCCTACCCCTGGGAAAGTGGGGAATTCACCAGCTGCCTGCACCTCCAGAGTTTGTGTCTCTGGAGGGGGCAGGGCCCAACCTCTGCTGGCGGCCCTGGGAGAGGGGCCACTGCTCCCCCTGCCCCCCAAAATCACAGCCAATATGGCTGTGGCCACAAGAAAAGGCCCTCAACACCGATTTCTAGTCTGTCCTCCTGCACAGTGCAGGCAACAGAACTTCACTCACCCACTCCTGTAATAGGTCCCTAACTTCTGGCTGAGTTACTGAAGTCCTCAATCATGATTTAAAGAGTTCAAGTTACAGAGAATCCACCATTTATTCCAGTTTAAACCTGCAAGAGACCACTGCCCCATGCTGCAGGGGAAGGTGGGGGAAAAAAACAGGGTCTCTGACAGTCTGACCTAGGGGAAAATTCCTTCTCAACACCAAATATGGTGATCAGTTGAACCTTGAGCATGTGGGCAAGATCCACCAGCCAGACACCTGGGAAAGAATTCTCTTTAGTAACTCAGAGCCCTCCC